AGGCTTACGCCTCAATCCGCCTCGCCTCATAAAGAAAAATCGCATTAATACTTAGTTTCGCCTTTTTAAACATTGGCTTTTCTAAGATAAAAACAAATTAATAATAGAACACACAAAATTAAGAGAATGGTGGAGCAGGAGTCCTCACTATACAAAGAAGAACACAGAAAATGGGGGGTTTAATTTTATTGAAAAGGGAAATAGGCAATTCATAGTGATATGGAAAATCAAAGGGTGATAAAAATTTATGAGAGGACAAAAAAATTGAGTTTCTTCAAGTATATAAATGTGTGAAAAATGCAACTGGTAGGCACTAGCAAGTTCCTTTCGTCAATTAAAAATTTCTCTTGGTGCTCACTTCCTGTACAGCTTCATGCCACCCTTATGTGATTTAAGTTCTAGCACCTAAAAGACAGAAAGAAAGAGGCAGAGTCCCCACAAGACTGTAAAACACTACTTACAAATTCATTATATTAAGAATCTTTTCATAAAAATGATCAAGGGAAATATATTATCCTCAACATAGCTAATATGGAATAACAAATGCACACCTCCAAAGGTCTATCAACTGTGGTTAAGACCTTTATTTTGACCAATGAAAACATTAAACTGGTTATATAAGAAAGGAGAAATCAAACACCAGCAGTGTTTAATGGTCCACTCATTCATGGATTTTGCCCTTGATATGTTAATTGTACAAGTTAATTAAGAGTATTAGGTGTTCATTTCACTGGATCAAGCAGCTTTTCATTTTGGATTTGCATTCTTATATCAAATTCTTCTGCATCAACATCAACGGAACATATTACATTCAAGTGCATGGTTCTTCCAATATAAGACATCGTACAGATGTTTGTAGCGATAGTGGTGAAGTTGACAGACCTCAGGGATGAAGAGGATGGATATGTAATAGACAGGATCCAATAAGGATATAATACTTGAAGAATGTGTAGAATCCTATCCAAGAGCTAAATCTTTCCTCAGACTTCTAGATCATATGAAATTTGAAACAAAACATTGAAACCAAAAGCTCCAGGTCTATATCACCCTTTCTTTTGCAAAATACCTTGTTCATCTTGCATATCCCTACAAGATGTTGAAGCTGTTGACAAATTAGTATCATTTTGCATCTGGAGCCAATTCCACCATCTGATGATGCAATCACTGCAATTGAAATGAAAATTATACACTAAGTACGAGTTGGTATGTAAATATTATCATTCAAAGAAGAAATGGAGTGCATCGCACTCACCAGTGAAAGCAGTGGAAACAAGACATTAACTTCATAAAAGGCAATGAATTGCTCCCTACATCTTCATCAACCAATGGATACAAGCACAATGGACAGTTTCCATCAGGATGATTCATGCTAGAGAGTCTATCCACTGCTTCCTGAAATATTTGCAGCCATCAGTATGTAGTAACAGTTAATAATTCAATGAGAACAGATTTCCATCTAATATAAAATCTCAAGGGTGATAATTTAATTGGATGCACTAGACCAACAACAAATATCAAGCAAGAGATAGAGCGATATACACATTTAAACATGCTGACAAGACTAGCCCGATCATGATATATAAGATCTCCAAATCTAGCAATAACATTGAGCAGCATAGAAAACAAGTTATCACAAACTCAACCAACAGGACACTTAAGCAACAAAATTCCAAGTGGTGAATTTATTACCTCACAAAGTGCTACAAGCATGAAACAAGAGGCAAGTTCAAAAGCCTTGTTACGAACGCTAGATATCAGATGGTTCTGCTTTTGATCATCAAGACCTTTGGAGTCAACAATACTAATATGCGGTGGTTCTTCAGGATACTGCCATAAAGCAGAATTTTTTACTCTGGTCAAGTCATAATAAATTCTTTACTAGTACAGGAAAGATGACCATATATAAAGCATAGTCTGACATGCAATAACAAAGCATATTGCAGCAGAAAATATCTTCTTATATATTTAAAATCAGGAGAAGAAAGGCATGGACTTCTCTGGCATCTATTAGTCTGACAAGTTGCTAGCAGTAATGTGGTGGTAGTTTGAGAATAAAGAAAGAATAACACCATGTTTGCAGCTCAAATTCTATTGCTGTGGAGGTAGTAGTACTCCAGATATGTGTATGTTTATATAATAACAAGTACCTTGGGACCAGCTCGAATTGCTATACTAGCTTCTACAAACTGCACACGAAAAACACAAAGTTTATTACTAATAAAAATGGAATTAAATTTGATTTCACCATCAAATAAACATAAGCATAAAAACTTGTGCGGTTTAAGCTGAGGAAAACAAAGGAAAATGGAGACTCGCTGTCATACATTTCTGACAAATAATCCTAATCATCAGGCAAATAAAATTTAAGGAAGAACCTGTGATCTTATGTAATTCCCCAACTTTATCCCTTCGGATGACATCAAGAGAAGTGAGGCAAGTGTTAACTTGAACACAACAAAATTTAGATTATCTTGTGAAGGGCATTTAGAGATGACATCAGAAAAAAGTACGTAAAAGAAGGGGACACTGAGGGAACAAATATGGTATTCCAATTCAAATCTTTGAACTCAGATGTATCCTTTTCCATATTAAACTCGAACATGAGATTTTTTTAAACTACTTCCTGTGTTATCAATTTTCTGAATAGAACACAACTACAAGATGTGTGTCATCAGATTAATCTAGATTACCTATTAAAAACAACTTCAGATCAACTTCAGACTTGAAATATAAATGGGAGGTCAAAAGAATTTCTAAGAAACTCATATATTTGTATCGAATATAGCAAGTCTACTTTCTGGCCAACTTAATAGTACAAGATTTCAGACTTAAGCTAACAACAGTAGAAACAAAACATGATTTGAAGTGAAAAATGATATCTTTAAAGAACGTAATAAATAATTTTCAAATAAGCTGTGCCAAACAATCCCTAAATAAAAAACTAATTCCGTATATCAATCGCACATCAATTCAACATTTTCTGTCGACAAATTCATTAGTGAAACAGGGACTTAAATGGTTACGATTCTGAAGATGCAGCACGCATTAGAGAAAGTGAAAGAAGTGGTTCGGTGCAGTGAAATTGTAAAAAAAAAATCCCTTCCAACTTTCAATACAAACACTTTTATACCTGTTGAGATGAAACATCGGCGGTACGGGGCTTGAGGTGAATGAGGAGGTGAGGAGGGTAGATTTCAACGACCTGGCAATCTTCGCCGTACACCGCCATGGCTGCCTCAACTTCTGCCGCCACTTCTTCTTCGGCCATTGGTGGCCGTGACGGTGACGGTGGCGTTCGTTGATTCGTCTGAGGAAATCGCGCGTCTGGTGGAATGAGATTCGAAATAATCTGTACGTGTCTTGAATTGGATTTCACGGAATTACGGGTATCCATATAAATGCAATCGGCAATCTAATTAGAGAAAATTGAAAATTTTTGTATTCAATCTATTCCCTTAATAGTAAATGAGTCCCTAATCTATTAATTTTGACGTGTAAATCCCCATCTTCTTGTTTCATAGTACTGTGGTCCTCATTTACGAAAACTGTCTAAAAATACTTGAAAAATAGAAGCTCGTATCGAAAAATCCATACATCTATGTATTTATTTATTGCGAGTGTTGTATTAGATACATGTGCAAGTGACGAACGTTACCCATCTGGATTTTGTTAATATTGTAGGTTGATGAACATTTAAGTAAAAGTTCGATAGCATTTTTGTCAGTAAAATTTGAAAGAAAGCTCAATCTTAAAAATTTGGACGGATTAAAAGGGATTTGTTCGTTCTTTTACCTTCTCTTCATGAAAATACCATCCCTTACCCTATTTACTAAAATTTCATCAAAAATATAATTCAATCTCAAACTTAAATTAATGAGCTAGAATTCCATTTCCCACCGAAAAATACTCAAACTGATGATTGTCACACAATGTGATTAACCGATTCCGTCTTGCAAATTTATATTCCTTAATTTGTTTCGTCCCAAAGCATCGATTAATAGCATCACCAATGATCCAAGTTAGATCTAACTTGGTACTTCTTAAGAATTTGAACTAGTAATCAAAGTTCTTTACCCACTAATAATTAAGATGACTCGTTAAATAATTAAGTGAAGTCTTATTTCAAGTGGTGACTTCATGTGGTCGTGTTCAATATTTTTTTAATACGTCGGTGTCCTTGCTGCTGCTACTACTACTAATCAAAGACAAAAACGTAAGCGCTTATTTGATACAAAATTTTTGAGAAGTGATTTTTTGAAACTTTCG